GACAGCAACCTGGCCCCCGGCTCAAAAAGATTGCCTACCCCTGATCTAAGGGATTAGACCTGGCGCATTCCACATGCTATGTATGTACTTTATTGCTAGCTTCTGCATCTTCCCCAGATGTAATGGTGGATAAAGCTTCCAAGTGTCATTCTGTGTGTGCTTGCTTGGAAGCGAGTCCTGTTGCCCACGATAGACCTTACTTTAGACACGTGCTTAAATCACCTCCTGGAGACAATGGACCTTCAAGCGTTGTGCTTGCAGCAGCGTCTCACTCAGTCCATTGTAGTTGGGGCTGACTCAGTGTTGCTGCTGACCTATCACAAATATGACAATGGTCACAATTTCATGGGAGTGTTGCAACCGTTGTGCCTAGATTTTGGGGGAAGGATGGGTTTGTGTCCAATCTGGAGTGGCCAAAAATATGTGAGCCATTTTATAGGAGCACTCTGGCAATGGGGTAGGAAGTTGTGTATATAAGATGAGTTTTCAGCAGAGAGGTTGAAGCCTCCTTAATTGTAATGTGTTCTCACTGGAAAAAAACAATAAAACTGGGAAAAGTGAAGGGAAATAGAAAGGGAAGAAGGCCACATGCTAGATGGATGGACTCTATGAAGGAGGTCATGGGTATGGGAGAGTGTGGAGGGACCTTGGAAGGATTTTCCAGAAGGCAGGCCCACCCATTTTTATTTAATCTTTTCTGTTTCCTTAGTGCAAAAGGGGCTAGGGCGGAAATATAAAAGAATGTCAATTTACACAAGAAAATAGTCTTGGCCGCACATCACATGTGATGTCAAGGTCTTTCTATGGAAAACCCCTGATCTGATACTGCCCATTCCTGTGTGTTTCCAGTACAGAGTTTTAGGCAGTGATAGATGTGTCCCTCCAGATACATTGGAACTAATTTTAACTTATCACCACTCCCACCCAAGTAGTTGGATGGAGAAAGAAAAAAATCCTTCCTAATTTCTTGGTTGTGAGCAACTTTTTCCATATTGGAGATGCAGAGATGTGAGTGTGTGTGTGCCGGAGCAGGCATATAAATGGCTTCGAAGCATTACCCAGTCTCACACTAGTTGATTTAAGTAGGTCACACAAAAAAATAACTTAAAAGTTCTTGCCTATTCTTCTGAATCATCTTTCGTCGGAGAAGTTGTATCAGATGGGATGGCCTGTGAATCTGATTCAGTATGGGGTTTTTTCTCTCCAGTTTTGCCTCTTCTTTTGGTTATAATATGCACATGTTGTCCTCTTTTTCAGGAGCTTATTCCATGTTTGTTTGACTGCTAGGGAATCCCTGAAAGTCTGGTGCCATTTCAGCATGTAATGGAAGACTTTGGAGTCTGTAGGTTATGTTGTTGGCTTATGTGTTTGAGAGAGTGCTCTACAATGCACCCAACATGGTTGCACATTTTGATGGGGCTGCCTTGGAGACATTGCAAGTAGTTGGCTCTTGAGGGATCTGATAAGCTTTGGAGGAAACTCCAGAACAGTTGGGAAAGCCTCTTTGTAGAAGGCTCTTCCCTACAAACAGACTCCCTTGCTTGTTTGAGGCCCTATGTATCTCCACCTTCTCTGGTGCATGATGGAAGTTCATGTGACATTTTTGTGTGTGCTTTTGAGTATTGCAGCTCTTACCTCCAAGAAAGTCATGACTCAAAATACTGTTGCTTTCAGTTTGATCCAGAAAAGGCTCATCAGATTAAGAACTGCTGCCTTCTTTCTGATGCACTTCTAGTGTCTGTTGTGGTTTTTGTTGTTGATGCAGTCGTTGAGCATGAAAGTTTTATTGTTTCATATTGTCTTGATTCCTTCTTGCAGACAGATGTTAGCTGCTTTATGGCTCCCTATGGGTTGGAGAGGCAGGATATATACATTTTAAATAAATAAAAATAACTTGGATATAACTTAAGCAACAGCGAAAATATAAGTTGTGTGATGTGCACTGTCTTGTATTTCAGGAAAGCAGTAATTGCCGCTTGTGGTTTGTGTGATATAATTGGTGGATGCCTTATTTCCACTGAACGCTGCAAGAGGAGTCAGCCTTGAAGGTGGAAGATCTGTGTAATGTTTTAAAAGCAACACAGAGTTGTCCAGACAGCCAGACTGTCTGTATATGAGTGGAACATCCAAAGAGCTCATGTTTCAGCTTCCCTTATTCAGGATACTGTTGAGAGAAACTTCCAAAAGCTATGGAGGAATTGTGTCCAGGAAGTGATCACTTCATCCATTGAATGCTACAAACCTTTGATTGTATCCACTCCCCAAGAGATTTTAAAAACAGTAATTCAAATTTTCACCCTCTCCTCTCTTGTAGTTTGTCGGCGAAGAGAAGCGCGTCGGGACCCGTACTGTCCTTGTCGGCCATCGCCGTGTTTCTGAAACGGAGGCTTATGTCCCGCAGAGGTTCTGCTCTAACCAGATCATCTCATCCAAGGTCTGTTTGTTCTCTTATGGCATTTGTAGGAATGGCACACAATCTCTGGATCAGGGTGGAGGATATTAGGCCCATGGCCAAATCAAGCCCCTCTCAGGGCTTCCTCAGATGGTCATGGCTCCTTTCCCATGAAAATAGATTTGGTGGTTTCCTAGCCTTTGTATAGGTCTGTCCCCCTGTTCTAATATACTGAAAGCAATAAGAGCCTTAAACTAAAATATGTTCGTATTTTCGCCTCCATCCTTTGGCTCTGTTCATCATTGGAATGCAGTTTATATGACATCTTTAACATTGAATGTGTTGTGAGGATCTCCATGTTTTCCCTTTCTGCTTCTTATGAACCCACCAGTGTTGTTCTAACTGCTGCATAGCCCTCCTCCATTACCATTTTGTTTTTGCAAGAACCTTACAGCCAACATCCCCCTCTGGTTGGACCGCAGCTGCCATGATCCCCAATTGGTGCTTAAAGGGCTCAAAATTTCCAATGTGTGCTGCACAGATATGTTTCAGTTCAACCAGCAGTCTTCCAGTTGTGCTATGATGCTGTTAGTTTAACAACTAGGTGTAAATAGGACACTTAGCCTAGTCATTTTCTTACAATAGTCCCATACCACACGTATTTATCAATTTATTTCATGTGCATGCCAACTTTCTCCCAGAGTGGGACCCAAGGCACCTCCAAAGAGAATTATTTAAAAAACCTTAACAATAACAATTTTTTTTAAAAAATAAACCCCCACATTAAACAGTGCAACATCATTTAAAATACTGTATTTTTTATTTATAA